ATTCTGGAGTACCTGGCGGCATCGAAGCCGGCTCGTGATGAATTACAGATGATCAAGCGGAAGACTCGCATACCTCTATCAGAGGAGGGTCAGGGAGCCCCTAAAGCGGAAGTTTCTACAGTAGCGGTAACGGGGGTGACAGCCAGAGCGGATCGCATGGCGACAGTCCTTCTCGATGGGATGGAAGGTGTGCCTCCAGACAAGTTTTATATACTTGGTAGCGGGGCCGTAGAGACGATAATAAACGATGGAGCGATAGTCGATGCTGTGATTGATAATGGCAGTGAGGCTGTCATCATAGACGAGGACCTGGCAGTACAGGTTGGACTGGCCCTCGATAGGTCATACCTATTCGAGATAGAGACGGCTGATGGGAGAAAGCAACAAATCACTGGGGTTTGTCACAAGGCAGCCATAGAGGTCCAAGGGGTAGGARTGACCCTGCCTGTCTTTGCAGTCAAGAACTGTAGCTCTGACCTGCTCTTGGTTCGAACGTGGCTGAGCCACGTGCATGCGGTGACGATAGAACGACCTGATGGGAGTCAAACATTGTCCATTAGGAAGCCAGACGGGACACGGGTGATGATTGAGACAGTGGAGCCTCGGGACCCGAGGAACAGAGCAGCTCTCGCTGTGGGTGCAAGACCCAGTGATCAGATTAAGTCTTTACCCATCTCCGGCCGCGCGGTGCGATTTCGCGAGAAGAGATATGGACCACTGCTCACAGAGGAAGAAGGTAGGATGGTGGAGGTAGAAGATTTAGGAAGCCGGCTAATAATGGACAGCAACCCGTACCCCAAGGGAAAAGATGAGGAATTTGGCGGTATGGTATCCGTGTCTTTTTTAAGGGCACAGCCCCCTATGGGGGGGCTCCCCAAGCGACGCAAGCGAGTAGCTCAAAAAGTTAAGCCACCGGCGGTGGGCCGCGAGCGATCGGCACTGGAAGGGGTATCAGAAGAAGAGATCGCGAAAGAAATCAAAGAAAAAAAGAAAAACGAGCCGCAACGCCTAACGGAAGAGAGGATAGCAGGGATTGACATCGGAGATGGAAATTTGACCCCACAGGAACGAGAACGTGTGATAGAAATCCTGAAGACATGTGATAAGGCCATAGCTTTCAGCGACGCGGAGCGCGGTAGGATTGACCCTCGATACGCTAAGCCAGCAAGGATTTACACGATACCACATGTTCCCTGGAACGACGCGGGATGGAAATACGCCCAAAAGGAGAAGGAAGAAGTTATCGCCTTCCTGAAAGAAAAGATGGTTTTTCACGTTGCGGAGCCGTCTGATAGCGCTTATGCAAATCGATGGTTCTTCCTACGAAAGCCGAATGGTAAGATCCGATGGATCCAGAAACTTCAGAAGGTCAACGCGGTGACGATACGAGACGTGGGCTCCGTGCCGCACGCCGATTTACTAGCAGAAGGGGCGGCAGGTAGGTTGATCTATTCGGTCTGTGATCTGTTCTCAGGCTATGATGAGGTACCGCTTGACCCTAGGGACAGACACCTCACGGCTATGCATACGCCATTGGGACTAATTCAAATGATGGTTGTCCCTATGGGTTGGACTAATGGGGTAGCCGTTTTTCAGAGAGCCATGGTAGCCGTCCTTAAGGACTTCATCCCTGATAAGGTTGAAGTTTTTCTGGATGACTTTCCTATAAAAGAACCAGTAGACAGGGATGAGACAGAGGTTATACCTGGAGTAAAAAGATTCGTCGAGCAGCACCTAACAGACATTTGCGTGGTACTCGAGCAGCTGGACGATGCGAATTTGATAGTCAGCGGGACCAAGAGCCGATGGGTCGTCTCGACTATTAAGATCTTGGGCTTTATATGTGACTCGAGAGGACGCCGAGCAGACCCGGCGAAGTTAGACAAACTCCTGAACTGGCCGTCACCGTTACATAGCCCAACCGAGGTCCGACAGTTTCTGGGAATGGTCGGTTGCTGGCGTATATTCATACGGGGGTATGCGGAGAAGGCTGAGCCATTGAGGTTACTCCTTCGAAAGACTGAAATTTTCTACTGGGATTCTTCGCAGGAACTCGCAATGCAAGAACTTAAAGACGAATTTAAGGAGGGAGGACGCGTGTTGGGCGTGCCATTCTTTGACGATGAGACCGAGAGACCCTTCATAGTATCCACGGATGCTGGACCATATTCAGTGGGTGGTTTGCTGTCTCAGAAGGACGCTGGAGGGAAGGAAAGACCATTAAGATTTGAGAGTAAGACACTAAATACGGCTGAGCGTAACTACAGTCAATTCAAGAAGGAAATGTTAGCTGTTCTCCGGTGTCTAAACACGTTCAGACACTATATCTATGGGCGACGGTTCATCTTGAGAGTAGACCCCACCGCGGTGCCTATGTCCTCCAGAAGGACTTTAGTCTGACGGACCCGACCATCGTCCGATGGTTAATACGGATTCGGCTATACGATTACACGGTCGAAAGGGTATCTGGTACAAAAAATGCCGTGGCATATGGACTTTCACGCATCCCTCTCGAGCGTCCGATAGTAGCTGGGGCTTTGACAATGGCAGAGCCGAGGCGCGCCGAGAGATTTCTAGTTAATCTTTACGAGGGCAAGTACCGAATGATCGGACTACACTTGACGGGAGAAGAGAGTCAAGATTCAGATATCCGGAGGCAAGCAGCCCAGTACTGCCTTAGAGCGGGCCACCTTTTCCGAAGGCCGGTAGGGTCGGGGATGCCCTTACGAGTAGTCTGTGACCCTGAGGAGAGACAGACAATAGTTGCGGAGCTTCACAACGGGGTAGTCGGAGGACACAGGGGAGTCAAAGGAACCTACGAAAAGGTACGCAGGTTGTACTGGTGGGAAGGACAGTATAAGGACGTCGAGAAGTATTGTAGGACCTGCGAAGAGTGCCAGAAGAGAGCTCTTGTGAAATACAAAGAGCCACTTCATYCATCCTATCCAACCCGACCAGGAGAGAAGGTACACATCGATCTAGTRAGAATGCCGAGAGGGGTAGGCAATATGAACTATGTCGTGAACATACGAGACGATTTCACTAGGTTCGTGGACGGTAGACCTATCAGGAGTAAGGCGGCAAAGGAAGTAAAGAACTTTGTCCTAGAGTACTTATCTAGGTATGGTTGTGTCAGTAAGATAGTGATGGACAGAGGGGAGGAATTCCTAGCCGACGAGGTCCAGAGCGTGTTTAGGAGAGCCGGTGCGAGAGTCTCGATAGCCACCGCCTATCACCCACAGTCGAACTCCCCAGTAAAGAGGGGGCACCAGACTCTGATAGCGTCACTGTCCAAGTGGTGCAAGGGTAAGGACAATGATTGGCCACGATATTTTCGATACGCAGTATGGGTGGACAACGTCACGGTCCGGGCTAGTACCGGATAACCCCCGTACACCTTGTGGTTTGGGCGACATTGTCCGTTTCCCATAGAGTTTCACGTCGACAGCTGGACAACCGTCGACTGGGCGGAGGAGATGTCCAGAGAGGAACTCTTAGCTTCCCGAACGAGGCAAATAGCCTATGGTTTGGAAGATGACCTCATGACAGCGGCAGATCATCTGGTAGTAGAAAGGGACAAGGGTAAAAGGAGATGGGATAAGAACGTACGAATTAGGAAAGAGAGGGTGAAAGTAGGAGATATGGTCCTTCTCTACGATGCAGCGCTGGAAAGAACCTGGACCGGAAAACTCGCCAACAGATGGATGGGACCTTACAGAGTGGTTGAGGCACTCGACTGGGGTGCATATGTGATAGCGGAATTGGATGGATCTAAGTGGAAAGACCCAGTGGCGGGCGCTAGGTTAAAGTTGTTTAGGCCTAGGCCCATGTCCGCTTTATCGCTAACCAGCCCGAAAGGGAAAGGGAAAGCCATGGTGGAGGATGAAGCCCCCTTGAGGCAATTCGAGGCAGGGGAGAGTTCCAAGAAAAGGAAAAGAATAGAGAAGAGAAAGGTCAAAGGGTTAGCTTTAGGAAGAAAGAAGAGATGGTTATTCGTGCTCAAGCGAGCTAGACGGAGAGTTCGGGTTAGACGTACTGGCGGGTCGACACCCCTCTCGCGGCAAAGGCAGAAGAAAAAAAGGATCGTGTCGGGGCCAAAACCCAGAAGGAACATGAGAGTCAAGAAGCATCTTCTTAGCCCCAGGACTCATAACAAACTGAAACATAAGACAACTGAACGCCGACGTGGGCGACCTTTACGGGCCATCCTCCTGAAACTCATCCGCTTCGTCTGACGTAAGTTGCCAGGGCTCGACGGGGGCGTCGAGAAGTGGTCCGGGCTAACTGTCAGGCGGCCACAAGCAGTGCGCCGCCTGAAATCTACGGTTTAGGGACTTAGGCTCAAAGACAAGTCCGTGCAATGACGGTACTCTGGTTTGACCATGCAGCAGAAATTAGGGGCACCCCCGAGTAYCMCTAAKATTAGATATGACGACCGTTGAGACTARCTCTCGAAATTGATAAGAAGGACTACCTTACCGCGGCGGCGTCTATCTCAATACCGCCGTCTTTAGCTCGTTTCCGGGACGRCCGCCTGCTGAGATGGGCTTGGGCGTGGTTCTTTTACGCTCCACAACTKACGCAGAAGTGGGGCCKCGRATATCATCAATTTTGGTATCAAAATTTYWWAAAAARRAGAACATGAATTAAAAACAAAACAAGAAAAGAGAAAAACGGAATATTCATTAATTTATTCAAAATCTTWGTTGTTTGATTTTTAATGGGACCGCCCTCAATTATTGGACTTTCTGACAATAGAGTGAAAAATAAGAAAGAGGGATCAAAGGCGATAAAAGAAAAAGAAAACAGAGGATTTTCATTATTTAACTGAATTTCATTTGAATTTATTTTTGACAAGATTGCTTTATTTTTGTTATTTTCGATAATGGAACTAAGGAATAAGGAAAATAATTAAAAATAATAAAACGAGAAGGAAACCGACGATTATCTGATAATTAACTAATTTTTACTTGGTTATTCGCGAGGGGTGCGCCACATTGTTCCAATCCGGGTGTTGTGAGTGAGTGTGGGATGGATGCCTGRCSCGGGATTACCACCGGTRCTATTTTGCCTGGGCTTCATTGCTTGGGTGTTACCGCTGGGTCRATTCGGGYACGGTACTCTGGTTCGGGACAGGCTCGGTATTRTTACAACRCATTGCTGCACGGTACGGYACCCGACACTGAGCGGTATGATAATAGTGCAGGCGGCGGTAAATCAGAGCGTTTCTTCGGAACCGGCATTGGAACGCTTGCWGGAACGGCACTGGTAAGGGACTATTATCGCAACGGCATTGGCATGGGYGCTAATGCAGATTGGCACAACTATTGGCTCGGCATCGACACAAACTGGAAYAGTATARGACTATTCGACCTTGGTATTTGATGGTCCGGCGCTCTGATTTGTTTCAGGGCTGYTGCAGTTCACAGTTCGCTCCATTGATARTGGCACAACACTGAAACAGAGTACTACAGCCTGCGCTGTTYTTTTTGGGGTTCGRAGAYAGAAAAARGTGYAGGCACGTTGYCTGTGACGTTGYGCAGATTCTGGCTGCGATTCGGTACTTCGACCTTGGAATGGGCACCAGTTGGCTACTTACACAGTCCTGGGACRGCARGCCATGGCCCGGACCTGCTGGGTTTAGAAATTGGTCACTGGTTTGCCGTTGGAACAGCKACCGCWATGGRCCAGGGCRCGATAACCGGGCCTGGATTGACGAGGGCAARAWWTTTTYTGGGTYTGGAGCATTGRGACTGTAGGGACTGCGACGCGGASCGAGTGGAACCAGGGCAGTTGGCCACAGGCAGTGGATAWAGGAGAAGCAAACGGGTACCAAGGGTTTTTTTTSGGGGGGGGAGATGCGTGCMWGGCGTACCCAGCATCCCGGAARTTGACCGGAGACGAGCAAGCAATRAGAGCAAGCACGAGGAGGAGGCGACAGTGCGGAGGCGGTAACTCCGCGCGTGAAGAGAGTGACGTGACGGAAGGAAGCATGCACGGTGTGCTCAGCCCACCGCTGCGAACRCTGGCTGGAGTCCCGAGACACGRACGGTGAACGGCGGCGGGTGCAGCGAATGTACCTGTTCACGAAGCACAATGGATCCGTGCTGCGGCAGCGGGTRAGTATGTGCCAAAAGTACGAGCGTTCTTGMTGTCCGCTCTTGGACGCARCTATTAGCGGCACCTGTGACAGCGTGATCATTGTCCCTTTCAACCACGCGTCAGACGACGTTTCTCAACTACAGATCAGGTAACTTAAGTGGACTGGTAACGGTTG